AAATCTTGTTTCTTTTATAATATATGTATTAAAAGTGCTATCTTTTAACTCCTTATATAATTAACATGTAGTTGGAACAGTAGTAGTTTTATAATACCATTCGGATAAAATTTGTCCTATTTCCCATGTTTGAAGCAAAGATGTGAACTGAAGGGCAAATAATCTCAAGAGATTTATATCCCCTGAAGATAGAGAATGGCTAGAAGTACCATATTAATTAGTTCATCAGAAATCTCAGACACACTACTTCAAAATCAGCCTAAGAAATACTGTGCTAATGGCTTTAGTGATAGCATAATACCAGTGTCAACATCCAAAACAGCCTTAAATCACCATCTACAATACGATATTTGACATAATGTTTCAATTTTCTCATGTCCCAGCGAGCCTCGTAGCATCTGCTCTTGATCTGGAAGACTCTGAGGTAGACGTGTAAATCCATCATCCATTTCTTGAACTTCGATTTGTCTAGTCACCACTATTGTCACATTTTTTTTTCTAAGAGCATATCATCTTCACCAGATGATATGTTGTTGCCGAATCATTAAAATCTTATGGCTAAGGCGCGTTTGGGCTGGAGAAAATTTATTATGTGGCATTTCATTTCGGAGTTGGACTAATTTAACTTGCCACAAATATTATGCAATGTCAAAGTTCACTCAAAACGTGAAATTTCGCAAAGTTCCGAGCGTTCAAACAATTAGGATGTGTTTGATTACATTTATTTTCCATGAAAAATATCAATTTTCCACCCAAATTCCTACTTTGAGTGTTTATTGCTATTTTTTTCCATAGAAAATATTTTCCAACTTTTGAAAATATATCTAATTTTCCTTATTTTTAAGGAAAACATTTTTCTTGGGTAGAAGTGATTTTTATTTTCCACAAAAGATGAAAAATATTTTTTTTTTAGGTGATATTTTTCATCCTAATCAAACATACACTTAAATCCGCTAAAATTACTCTTCAAGTTTAATTATTCCAAAAAAGTACAATTATAGCGGGGCCCTTTGTATTACTTATCCTGGTCTCATCAGCACGCAGTCACCCCTATAGAACTGTCTATTTTTCCTCCTCTCTAAACTTCAGTCACGACACCGCGAACCAACCGACGATTTTTGTACAGATTCAAGTGGTAAAGGCACGATCTTTGAATAGAGATATATACAATTCGTTAATCTTGTGCGTGCATTTCTATGTTGTGTGTGGATTTATATCTCATTTAGTTATTTGATTGATCTATATATTGACATGGGTTTTCATTGGTTTACCGATTTTTTTGTTTGAAATTATAGGTTTAGTTCGTTAACAAAAAGAAAGCACGTCCTGTTTGGGTTTGAAGATAAGGGATTTTATTTATTTATTATTTTTTTTTTTGGGTTCCATCCCTTTCGAATTCGTATTCATTCTTGAATGATCTAGGAAGAAAATATGGCTTGATGAATATTTATGTTTGGTTGCAACGTTTCTGAAGTTCTCCAATTTTTGTTGGATTATTTTCTAACTTATTGGAATTTATTTGGAACTCCTTTAACCTTCGAATATTTGGTTAAGTCGGCCGGTTGGGCAAAGTCCTCCAGGCTTTTCTCTGAGCACGAGTGGCATACTTCGGGATGAACCCTTTCTTGAGGTAAGTGTGGAAATAAGAATATCATGGTTCCCCCTATCCTCAAAATCTAATAAGCATGGGAAGGTTTGGTTCAAAGGCGCCTGCTTGACAACTTTCTTCAGAAAGAGGGAGTTGTTGGGAGAGAGTAGAGACAAACAATAAATGATGTTCTTTTGCACTCTCTATTTTGAGTGCTTCTGTATTCGTTGGCGTCAATGCAAATGGTTTAATGAATTGGTTTTTTGTGTTAGAACATTTATAAAGTTCTCTAAAATTTATTGAGTTGTGATTATTGGCCGTCATTTACAAATAATTGAACTTTTCTGGTCTGGTACACGGTCGTCAGCATTTATTTAGTTGGATTAGTGGTTTATCACTTCTGTTTTTCATTTAGAAGACTTATGCATTTAAATGGTTATCTTTTATTAAGCAAAACTGTAGAATTAGATGTCCATCATGTTAGTTCTAAACTTAAGTGTTGGATTCGGATACTGTGTCCAAGAATATTGATCTTGTTAGGAAAACAAAATTTATGAGTTGGTTGGATTTGTTGTCATCAATGCAAATAGTTTAATGAGTTGGTTTTTTTCTGTTAGAACATTTGTGAAGTTCTCCAAAATTTTATGGAGTTAATTTCTTGATTATTTGCCATCATTTACAAATAATTGAACTTTTCTGGTCTGATACACGGTCGTCAGCATTTATTTAGTTGGATTAGTGGTTTATTGCTTCTGTTTTTCATTTAGAAGACTTCTGCATTTTTATTAAGCAAAATAGTGCATGGTCCATCCAACTGTAGAATTAGATGTCCGTCATGTTATTTCTAAACTTATGTGTTGGATTCGGATACTGTGTCCAAGAATATTGATTTTGTTAGGGGAAAAAAACAGAATTATGAGTTGGTTCGGTAAATGCTCTATATATAAGCATTTGATGCAATTTTTAGAGTCAATTGCTTCGCAATTGTACTGCGTGAAAAGGTGTCTTCATGGTGGTAAACAGTGGGCAAATAATGAACTATTTATGGTTTGATGATCTGGTTTCATATGTTGGTGCATCAGTTCTATAGTTAAATGTGAAGCTATACAATGGCAGGTGTGCACCAGTTCCCTGAACTATATAGATTAGTTGCTTGTTTTCCCTTTTTTTTCTTCGCCCCCTCCATATTCATCTCAATGTCATTATCTAAGTTCTACATTAAAGAATGGTGAAGATCTTCATCTTTGGACATGTTAATTTTATTATCTATGTAGTGGTATTTTATCCGTCTCTTTTG